AATAAAATTTTGTTATACTTCTTTCAATCAGTAGTTTTGATAGCTGAAATCTCATTCTGCCATCCTTTCATTCCCTAAGGAGATATATAAAGCAAGAGCCACAATGGGACTTAAGGATAGTTGATGAATTAGGCATCCATAAGTCTAAAGTTTAGGAGATCAAAACAGCCATTCAGCTCTCACCTAACTAAGGGGTACCTCAGGTTTGATCACTAATGATCCACAGGTTTGACCCATCTACAAGTTTGCTTCTGAACGTAACAGCATTGAAAACTGTTTTGAGTCAACAGTGCCTTAACCCTGGTATTTATCTCTTTAAAAACACTGAAAAATCTGGTGCCTTTAAACAGAAACTAGATTTTCATATCACCAACCACAATAAGCAATATGTTGCTTCATAGAGAAGTTGTCATTGTATCATGTTACCTTAAAGTTACTGTAAAGTTACAGTAAATATTCAGTTGATAAAATACCAATTTTGCAAGCTTACCACAACAATGAAAATGTTGTTAGAGATGATGCTGGTCATTGGATTTGGTCAATGTACTTTTTAATCTTGGCTCCAGGGTATGTGATAAGATGAAGTGGTTGTTTTCCTGTGTTTTGTAGGAAACCATATTACTGAGCAAAACTAGTGACAAGGCTGATAATTTGCTGAAACAGAATACTGTCAGTGCTTAATTGGTAAACTTTGTCTTTGCTCAGTTTTCAGAAAGGCAAAGTACCCATGGCTCCTCCTGGCTTTGTTAAGAGCTGTAAACAAAAATTCAGCATTCAGTGATGAGCTCCAATCTGAATGCTTTGCATCTGTTTTTGGTGTTTACAATTATAATGCATGTATGAAGTCCCATGGAGGGACACATTTTTATATGTATGCAATTCTGTACCATTGCTATTAAGGAAACTGCACTGAATGAAAGGATTTGTTTCTAAAGAACAGAGTTTGTAACATCTAACATACATACCTCTGGAAGCCAGGAAACTAAACGGGTAGGAAATAAATGAATTTACAATACTTCTTACACTATGGCATGTTAATAAAGAATTTGGAAGAAAGGGTTTAGCAAAAGTTATGTTGCTAACAAAAGTCAATTTGCAAACATCTGAGAGGAAAGGCTGACCACTAACAGCCAGCCTGAATTTGTTAAGAACCAACTTGATTTTCTTTGACAAAGTAACTGGTGAGTGGATGAAGGGAATGCAGCTGATACATTATATTTGAACTTTAGTAAGGCTTTTAATATGGTCCCACATGATATTCTCATACATAAACTAGAGAATGTGGGCAAGATGAAGTTACTATAAGGTGGATTCATAATTGGCTCAATAACCCCAAGCAAAGAGTAATTATCTACTGATGGATGTCAGAATGGCTAGATGTTTCCAGTGGGGTTCCACAGGGATCTGACCTGGGTCCAGTGCTGCTTAATGTATTTAATGATTTGGATGTCAGAATAGAGAGCTTCCTGATCAAGTTGTCAGATGATATGAAATTGGGAAGGCTGACAAACACTTCAGAGGGTAAAGAGAGAATTTTGTAAGATCTTGACAGATTGGAGAGCTGAGCTAGAGACAAAAGAATAAAGTTCAGCACCATGGGTGTATCTACACATGCAGTTAACTGGAAGCAGTAACCAACTGGAAGCTTACTGCTCCAGAGTTTATTACTCCCAGGCATGCCATTTGCCTGGGACTGCAGCACACTGAGCCAGGTTGGAGCAGCAGGGGTCCCAGGGCATCAGCCTACCAGGCTGGGGCTGCTCTCCCTGTCTCGACATGCTGCAGAAAGGCTTGCTGGGGCATGAGGATTCTTCAGTGCAGGGCTAGCTGGTAAGCAGCACCCCGCATTGAAGCAGCTTCATGCCCCAGCCAGCTGGGGCAGTATCTACATGTGTACTGCTACAGAGCTTTTTTACTCTACAGCAGGATAGTACTTGTATTTATAAGTACTATCCTGCTGTGGGGTAAATTAGTTTACTCCAGCCTAATAGGGGTGCATGTGTAGACATGTGACATTTACTGCACAGCTCATTAGTCAACTGTGCAGGAAAAATCTCATGTAGATGTGCCCAGACAAGTGTAAAGTGCTACACCTAGGGAAGAATAACCACAAGGATGAATACAGATCGGATGATAACTTGCAGTAGTGTTGCTGAGAAGGGTCAAGGGAGTTTTGGTGGATCATAGACTAGTCCTAAATCAGCAAGGTGATGCAGCCACACACACATACACACAAAAAAGAAATAATCTGGGCTTCATCAACAGAACTATTAGGTAAAAGACATGGGAGGTGATAGTAGCACTTGCTGCTGATCAGGTCTCATATAGAGTATTCTGGGTTCTACGTTACAAGAAGGATGTGGAGAAGCTGGAGAGGGTCCCAAGCCAGCCAAAAATATAAGAGGGTTGGAAGGCAAACCTTATAAGTAAATGTTGAGTGTGCTAGGTATGTTTAGTGTAGTGAAAGAGAGATTGGAGGTGAGGAAGAAGGGGGCATGATAGTAGTTTTACAAATATCAGAAAAGCTCAAGCTTCAGTTTTTGTCTTCCTGTTCACCAGTTGTGTTACACCCTGTCAGGATTTCTCTTTTAGTAATGCCTCTGGTGATAAATTACACATGGATCATCCTATCATTGCACAATAGGATTGCATTAACAGATAAAAGCACTGCGTGTGAAAATGCATGCTTTTGGTTTTCCTTTTTAAAAATGGTTATTGTAGAGTTAGTTATTAGAGTTAATGCCATTATTTTTTAAGTATTACTATGCAAGAATTAACTTGTTCCTCTTATTGCAAGTCATCCTTTTCCCCCTCTTAATTTTAATATTCTAGGTGACCCTAGAATATCAAAAGAGGATGATATTTTTCTAGATAAACCAAATTAAGAGTGGAGAAGTGTTGGGGGGGGGTTATTTGTTTGTTTTCTGTTGGGTTTTTTTTTTTTGCTCCGGAGCAATCCCATAGGTGAAAAAGAATCCCATGGGTGTAAAAAGCTACTGAAGGGAAAAAAAACCTAAAAGGATCATCTAGGAGAATATCCTCTAAATACTGTCTCTGAAAGAAAGGAGAGGTAAATGGATGGAGCTGCCTTTAGGATCCAGCTTGCAGGAGATGACAGCTGTCTGGTCTGTCTCTTTGGCCATTGCTCCCTTTACTTTCTTGGCAGCTCCACTCCAACAAAATTAAAAACACAACAATTAACTTGCAAATTTCTTGCTTCTCTTTCCTGATGCAAATGATCTACCTACTATTATTGATAAGGGAACTATTAGTGAAATGCAGGTGATTGTGTACAATGAGCTGCTTATTATTGTGAAGCAGTGATAACGTTAAGTTCATGGTACCTTAAACTTTTACTATTTTTGACTGGTGCTTGCAAAAAAATCTCTGGCCTGACCATGGTGGTGCCTTAAACTTGAGGTACCTCGCCTGGCTGAGGGGAATGAGTTGAAGCTTGGGTGCTGCTGATGCTGGAGCTAGTAATTCATTTGGCTACTCTATGCTGCTAATACAAACTCTGTGTTGTTAATCCAGCTGTTAATTTAATGTGATTCAAACTATGCTAACTCAGGTGTAGGTAATTCAAACTAACACTGCAGTGAAGACAAAGACCTTTAGCCCAGAATAAGCAGAGAAGAAGGAGAAGGTGTTAGTTAAGAAGCAACATTCCTAGATTGCTCTTGACTCCCTCCTCAGACCCCAATCAGCATCCTTGACCCTGAATTGGTTTTTTTGTTGTTGTTTTGAGGATTTGTGTGTGGTATATAGCACTAGAAGATGCTTTTTGCTGTTGTAAATGTAAGTTGTTTTTTTCTCCCATATAATTTCCTCCTAGTGGATTTGCTTTTGCCTGTGTGACCTTGTTCAAGGACAATGCTTGTTTCAATTGCTGCATACACATTACTAATAGTCCATGTACTTGGAAGGGTCTCTCTGAGATGTGAAGAAATAATCATTAAAATGTTACATTTTATGATTCATGAAACTTTCAGCTGACACTGTGACATAACAAATAGGAGTGCATGAAAAGCTTGTATAAGGCACTCCATTAATTGCTCTGGTTCTGGGAAATCCGTTTGGAAAGTGGCCTGCTAGTACTCGCTCTCTTCCTGTCCAATGCCATTCAATTTTTTGCCTTTAATGAAGTTTAATCAATGAAAGAAATTACCAAAGTTCTAGGCTATCATCCCAGTAGTGCTTTGCGCGCACAATTATTTTTTGACCCAAAGCAGTTCCTGAATCCTTTTCTTTTTCTCCTTAGATGAACAGAAGAACTAGCCTTATTTTTTCCATACCTAATTTCATTTTTGCTTAAATGAAATTGTAAGTGATTCTACTTTGAATGTAAAACTTGCTAGACTAACTCTCATTCATGTATTCAGTACTACAAATGGAGCTGTTCTGCACTTTAATACTTTGAAGAAAATTGACTCCTGTGATCTCCATAGTAACAAGTAATATTACACTTTTTCTGGCTTCTGTTTTGCTGAGATGTTAAATATATTTTCATGGCATATAAAACATGCCTATGAAAAGAGATTAATTTCCATGAAGATAGTGACTAATGAATTACAATATTATGAGGCCAATTAGTGAGATTTGGCTGCTGTTTCTAATAAAAGGTCAAATGATCTTGTTGCTAATACTTCATTCTCAACTGTGGTGGGGAAAAATCCTTCAAAATAAAAAAGCTGCAACTATTAAAGGTTTTATAACTATAGCAAAATAGCTGTTTCTCATCTGCTGCTGCATGAGACTCTCACAACCAAAAGCTATTTTTTAATCATCATTTTCACTACCTTTTTCAATAATAGTCATCTGAGGTAACACTTGAAACAATGGTAGGTAAAAATATTCAGATTAAAGTGTAATTTTGTAATGAATTGTGGCCCTTTAAGCAGGAGTCAAAGACAGGCAGAGGCAATGAAAATACTTTTAATCTCACTGTATGGGTAAATGAAAAGTTGGAATGACTGTCTTCTTTTTCTCTGTAGAATGCTACGCCATTTGCAAAGGACCAGAGGTTAGGTGAACAACTTGCTGAAGCAGAATACTGCCAGTGCTTCAGAGAAACAAAGGTAAGCTTTGTCTTAAATTGCCTAATTTTCCAAGATGCTAAGCTTCATTAAGAACTGTAGATGAAAATCAGTGTTCAGTGACAACTCCAGTCTAAATACATTGCATCAGTTCGTGGTGGTGTTACATCATGATATGAATATGGAATCCCATTCCAAGACACATTGTCATAAAGACGTCATTCCATACCTTTGCTATTAAGACAGCAACACTAAAGGAAAGAACTTGAGTCTTAAGGTGGTTTTGCTGGTTTATGGCATAGCTTGTGAATAGAACTTATTCTTCTGACAGACTTGTTCTTGAAAACCTAGCAACTAGCCAAGGAAATGAAAGTATAGTACTTCTCACACTACAGTAGATTTCTTCATGTAAAATTTGGAAGGATTTAGTAAGAGCTGTGTTCTTTTAACAATGCAAGTGGTGTATGAAGATTTGGACTTTCTTCTCTAGCTTTCTAATTGATATTGTTTGAGCATTTTTTTCATATTCTGTTCAAAAGAGCCAGCTGCAAATAGAAGTGCTAAAGTTGGTCCTTGCTGGTCCAATACTCTTGGAGTACTGGTACCTCCTGATCCAGTTTCAGGGACACTTTAAGGAGTAAGTGTCCCAAATATGCAGTCCCAAATATAATCTGTTGGAAAGGTAGCTAGAACTGAGGTAGACTGGTGGGCAGCCAGGAAAGAACCTAGGCATTGACTTCTCCCGCCTCCCATATACACACTGGTTGGCTTGAACAAACACAGTCCAGTGGAGCCCCATGCAAATGCTCTGGTTTCTTGGCCCTAAAACTGACATCTAGTGACAGCCCAAAAGCAATGGAAGCATCACAGGAGGAAGTAATAGGCCTGGGTTTGTGTTGATACGTTCAGTCCAAAACAAACAGACATTTCTGGGGATATGCAGAGTGTGTGTCAGGATTTGGGATCCCTTAGTGGATCACATGGCACCACCAGTAGCATAAGTGCAAATTTAGACTTGCAGCAATCATGAGGACTTACTAGATTCAGGAGGAGACATGTTCCCACTCCCAGCCAAGAGCCATTTTTCTGCACCCCATTGTAAGCCTGTCTCTAGGCAAACTGGAGGAATTAAACAGAGGGAGTAGCCTTTTTCAAGCCCAGAAACAGTAGGGAGGGAATAATATCATTCTGTTCATCCGATAAAGCAAAACAAAGGTAAAGGGGAGTGTCACAGTACACTGAAGTGCCTGCTCCTAAAGAAAGACAGGTGTGGGTTGCCAGGGCAACCACAGAGATCAGCTGACCGGAAGGGGGCAGGGCCTGGCCTATATAAACAGCTTAGGCTGAGGCCAAGGGGGTAGTTCCCCTCTGGCAGTCAAGGAAGGTGGAGCTCGGTGGGAGCAGGCAGAGTAGAGAAGCCTGATGGCCTAAGCCACTTACCAGAGAGGATGCCAGGTAAAGGAACTCCTGGCAGGGATGGGAATGATGATTAACTAGAGGGATTAGAGGTTATGTCTTAGCCACACAGCTTATCTTTGAGTTGTAGCCGGTTGGCTTATGATATTGTTTTGTTGTTGTTACACCGGAGGACCGGGTGAGGCTGTAGGGGTTGGACCAGTGTGGGTGCAGGCAGGAAGCCCCTAGTGGGGCGTAGGACCCAAAAAGGGGGTCTGGGGGCCAGGTAAGGCTGAGGCCGCCTGAGCCCCAATTGTGGGAAGCCCCAGTGGGACGTAGGACTCAGAAAGGGGGTGTGAGCGCGAGACCGGCCCCAGTGCGGGCTGGGTGTGAGCGCGAGGCAAGGCCCAGGGAGGGCGCGCAGGTTGGAAGCCCAGAAAGGGTGTATAGACAAGAAAGGCCCCAGTGCGGGCTACAAGGGCGCAGAGCAAGGCCCCAGTGCGGGTGAGAGTACAGAGATGGGAGAAGCCCCAGGGAGGGGGAGGGCGCAGAGAAGGGCCCCAGGGTGGGCCACGAGTAGAAGACAAGCCCAGAGGGTGTCCGTGAGGGTGTGGGCAACAGTATTTGACTAAACAATGTCCAAGACATCTGAGAAGTTTGGGGCGTGGTATTAGGGGTGGTAGGAGCCACACGTAGCCCTTGAGGCGGGAGTGCCCAGAATCACTGTAGACAGGGCACAGGCTGGAACACGTCAGGGATACCGTGCCAAGGAGGATAAAAGGAAGCCTCCCTTAATATTCATACCATCAAAGACGTGGCGGGCGAAAACAAGGGTGCATTTTATACCAACTTGGCACGGTAGGGGGCGCCAGGAAAGATCACAGCCACTCCTGGGTTCCCGCCCTGTGACAGGGAGATGAAAGAAAGTACCTGAAAGATGGATGGAGCTCAGAGTGAATGGTGATATCTTTTATGTATGTAGATTGGCTAAGAGAAGGGAACTGGTCAGAAAACAGGAATAGAGCAACCAAGAGATGGAATAACCATGTAAACAAATATCAAGAAGTGGGTAGACTGTAAATAGAGCAAGGAAGGGATAGCGTACATGAGAGAGGTGTCTCAGTTTATCATTTTTATTTTCCACAAATGGCCACTTTATTTTTCCTACACAGAATTACAGTCTGTCTCCTAGGCTAAATGGTGGTGCTTGAGGTTTTATGTTAGTGAAAATCATAAGTATAAAAAAAAATAGTTTAAGAACTGCTATGGTGTTGCATCTTGCTGGTTCAATCAAAGGAGACACAGATTAGTGGTTACTACTGGTTATATTTTATGTTGAATTTCTAGGGGAATGTAGCTTGGGATCATCAAATGCCATGTTGGAATCCATGTGGTATTTGTGTTACTGACAGTACTTACTGCAACCGGGCAACACAATGTTTCTTGTAGGCATAGGTAAAGAGAGAAAATATTATTTGTGGGGGCTGAGTAAAACTTAAACTTAAAAGGTACTTCTACCGTTCTGCTACACAGACACCACCCAGCAAGTAAGTGTGTGGGGGCAGATCAAGGCCCCTGTGGTGAGGGAGTAGGGCAGAGGCAAGGGCAAGGACTAGGGTGGATGGGGCCCTGGGGCAGATCATAGGTTGGTTGGAGTTGCAGGCAGCTCATTCAGGAGTGCAGGGTGCTTCCTGCCACTGTGCATGCGTCATGGTAGGCCTGTGGGCAGCATGTGCCCCCCAGATTTGTGCATGGGGTGGTGGAGGGCTGCTGCTGTGGGCTGGGGCTCTGTGCCCCATTGCTATTACCCTGGGAGCCACATGGTGGCTGTGCCACCTCCCCTGCCTGCCCGGCTGTG